ATTTTTAAACACTCCCCTGCTAGACTTCGGTACAAACCGATCTATCCAGAGGATCATCCTTGCATCACCTAGCTGGGCATTTCCATCCTTAGTTTCAAAATTGTTTGAATGTAACCATAACCCTGGGTCTCTAACGCTAATTACTTTCTTATCTGCCTTTTACCAGCCCCTGTTGTAGATGGTGCCAACCACAGTGCCAGTTTGACTGATATTTCTGCCCAGAATTGCTGCTTGGATGTATTAAACTCTTTACTGCAAATGAACCCAGCGTGCACACATATATTCCTCCAGGCTGAGGCTCTCACTGATGCCCACTTTGTCACTGGGAGTGAGGGGGGCAAGGTGGAGGGGCTGTGAGGAGAGGGGGTGCAGAAGAAACATCTCCTCTGCCGCGCATGGACTGATGGGGTTAAACGAAGCTTCCAGGAAGAAAGAAGAGGGTGGAAAAGGGGCAAAGAAACTTGTCACCACTTTGTGACTAAATCAAAAACGAAGGGTCGAATTGAAAATACATATTAATCCCCCAAGTTCACTCGTCCAGCTGCTGGGAGGTGGGTCACCTCCTCCCCAGGACATTTGTGTGCCCAGGGTCAGGGAGGGAAGAGATGCTTGGCAAAACAGAGGGAGGCCAAATAACTGCATGGCCCACCCACGGGCAGCTGCACCCCTCTGCCAGCTGAGGCCCGGTGAGAGCCGCAGGGTACAGAGGGATGGGCTGAAGAGCTTTTCTTATCTGCACAGCAAAATCAGCTCTGGCTGAATCCCTGAGCTCTCCTGGACGTGCTCAGAGAGGGCACAAAGCCAGCTGTGGCCAGTGCCGGTTGGGAATAACACAGCAGTCTTCCCACCAGGAGCTCTTTAGGTCCAGGGAGATTTTGAGCTCTCTTTTGAAAACAGCATTGTGCTTTGAATTTCATCTCCAGTTTACTTTTATGGGACACGACATCACAAATCTCAGGCTGAGACTCAGTTCGGACTCACCACTCCACACTAGTCAAATCAGCTATTTTCCTAACCAGCTGAAAGCAGAGGTCCCAGCTCCGCTTTGCATGCTGCTTTCCATGTTCTCAAGTTTTAAGTCATCCCAGAGTGGCCACAAAATACGAAATGCAAAAAAGGGGAAGAGGAACAGTTTTGTTATCTGTATCAGGAGGGAAAAAAACAGAGGATTTAAGGGCACTGCCATAGACTTCTGCAGGTCTACAAAGGCTCACACACTGCTGGGAGGGCCATCTGGTCACGGAATAGCTCCAGTTGGACAGGGCTGTGAGTGTTCGTCCCTCCCAGCCTCCCCAAGTCCCATGCTGTCTTCTCCTTTGAAGCAAGAGAACTCTTTTCCATTGCAGAAAGTGGTCTGTGGCACCCCATGATGGGTCAAGAGGCAACAGGCACAAACCCAAAATGCAAGAAATTGCATTTAAACAGCAGAAAGCACTTATTTACTTTGAGGTTGATGCAACAGGCTGCCCAGAGAGACTGTGGCATCTCTATCCATGGAGGTATTCACAACCCTATCAGATGTGTCCCTGAGCATGCTTTGGGCAGGGGGCATGGGCCAGATACTCTCCAGAGGTCCCTTCCCACCAGCTCTGCTAGAGGTGTGTACCCTCCTGTGGGAGTGGGAGCGGGAGCAGAGAGGGCCATTCACAAGCTTTAGCAGCTCTCTGTCTCTCAGGGCTGGTCTGATGTCTGACCTACAGACATGTCTGACGTGCTCAGGGGTCCTCACCTGCCAACAGCCTGTGAAACAACAGGGCTGACTGCAAAGACAACTTCGCCAGTCTCTTCCCAAACTCTCCTGATCAGAATTGTGATCATTTTCGTGTCCCTCCTCTCTATATCCTACATCGACTGGGACATGCAAAGCCCCCCCAACTCCCTGGCTTGCTGTCTGTCTTGGTGTCCAGGTGCAGGACCCCACTCTGGGAGGACTTGGACATGTACCATGTCTCCCAGGACCTGGTTTCCAAAGCATGAGCAGGCAGGATTGTGGGAGGAATCACTGGCAAGCTCACCAAAGCAAGGTCCTCCCTGACAAAGTAACACAGAAAGACTCAGGCACTGGCTTCTGTGGGCTGTGTTTTGAATCCCACTGACTTATTGTTGGCTTCAGTGAGAACGGCCAGCGCTGTGCACCAAGCAGGCTCAGGCCCCTCATTCCTGTTTAATGAAAGGCAGAGTTTTCCTGGAGATCAAAAAGCTTTCTGCTTTTTACAAGGTTGATTCATGCAGGCTTTGATGTGAACTGCCCTTCAAAAAGCCACTCGCCAGGTCAACAGGGAAGTCACCCTGAGCTCGTAGCTGGCAATACAATAAGCCTCATCTATATTCATGCAGCCAAATCTCTTCCCGTTTGATGAGATCATGCAATTAACCTCTCCACAGCAGGCAGAGCTAAGACTGCCCAGGTATTACCCAGATGCTTTGTGCTCACCTCTGTGGTGGCATCTCAGGGTGAACTTGACATTACCAGCTGAGCCCCGGGGCTGGTGTGGGGCGAGACGACAGAAACTGCAGTGCTGACTAATGGTCAAAATGCCTGGCCTGGTTTCCTACCTCCGTACTGAGGCACTGCAAAACCTTGGGGAGAAGCACCTCTTCATGCCACACAGCTACGCCCAGGTTGCCTTGGCAATGTGTCTCCCAGCCACCAATGAAGCCGTGCTGGTGCCCAGACAGGCAGGTGTATCTTGATACCCACGTCAACAGCACAGATGGTGCCAGGACCAGAGGGACTGAGCGCCCTGCAGGTAGTCAACACTGCAACAAGCTGTTTTGTGGCCGCTCATAGTCCCAGTATTCCCCATCTTTCGGCTAGTGTCAGGGAGCATCGTGGTGCGTCAAAGCTGCTTTGTGAACTGGGAACAGAGATGCAGGAGAGCAACAACAACACAATCCACATCTTTTAGGTTTGTGCTGTAGGAGACAAGCCTGGCCCAACCACAGATATCACATCTCATCAGTGTTTGTCTCAGTTCTGGCAAGCTGGGGAGGAGTCTGTCTGGTTGGCTTTGTGCTGGCAAACGCGCACAAGATCTCTGCACCAGAAAGCCCCCAGGTCTGCAGAGCTGACAGCAGCAAGCTGAACTGAGCGGTGCCCTTGGGAAAGGGGAGAGGGATGGAACTGACGGGGAAGCTTTGCACCCCAGCATCAACATTGAGAACGCATCCACTGGAGACCTGAGCTGGCTCTGCCTGCGCTGCTCCTGGTGTGCAAAGAGTGGGAAGGGCAATGCAGGTATTCAGGTCCGCTTGAGGCCAGATCACCTGGTGTTGGTACTGAATGGTGCTGGTACCTGAAGCCAGGTAAAGTGGCACGGCTAAATCGTCAGCAATCCCGTGCTGTGCGTAGCAGCCAGTCCATCAGCAGGCTAGCTCAGTCCTCCCTGCACCATGCACTGGTTACATAGGAAACATGCCCTCAGACAACCTAGCCTCTGGTCGAGGCGTAAGGCCCAATCCCAGCCCCGGCCTCTGCTGCTAAACGGATGTACATTGCTGGCTCAGGTAGCCCTTGCTCTGCCCTTCCCAGCAGGATTTGAGTGATCTTCAGAGGAGCGTCAGCCCCACTGCACCCTCAGCCCTCGGGGCTGCTGGTAGCTACCAGCATGATGGGCAGGGAAGGGTTCTGCACAGTCCATGCCTGCAGGCAGTCTGGTACCTCTGGGAAACATGGTCCCTCGGGGGACAGCGGCTGCCCCTGGGCCAGGAAGGTCGCTGGCAGGGTGTACACATCCTCCTTGTATTCCTAACTCCTGCATATCCCTAATTTATCAAGGGGCTGGGATTATACTCACAAAAGGCAGCCGCAAGAAAATCGTTCTGTCTCTGTCGCTCAGAAACAGCTGCCTTTCAGAGCAATGTGCACTCAAGCCCTTCAGAAATGCTCATTGGAAGTGGATGAAAAAGAACAAATCGCAGGGAAAAACCTGAATCTGAGAGCTCTGCTGGGCAGGGAGCGCTTCCTGAGAAAGCAGAGGCACCCAGGGCTCGGATGCTCTCGGCAGGACCTGCCTGAGGAACAGGGTACATCGTCTGCGCCCCTGCCCCTGCAGCCATCTCTCCTTTCTCTGCCTGTTTTTCTCCAGCCTTAAAGCCAGGAGAAGCACCGTGAGCCTCTGGATGTCAGCAGACCATGTGAGCCAGGGTTTGAAGGATATTTTAGCAAGCCCCAGGGGCACAGCGCTGTGAAAGCCAAGGAGCTACAAGTGTCCTCTTGTAAGTCTGGCTGAAAAGAGGACGTTCACAGGGTGGAGAGGAGCCCGTAACAGACCATGGCACTACAGATACATCATCCCAGAGCACCAAGAGCTTTATTCCTCCTTCCTCTAACTTTCCTTTTGTATTCGCTCTGCAGAATAAAACAGAGAAAAGGCATTTCCCAGTGAAGCAGGTACAGAGGAGGGGGCTGGCAGATCCACGGCGTGCTTGCATCAGACGGCTGCTGGGCGATGCAGATGCAGAGGGAGAGGGAAGCTCTGGTGCTGTGCTTTTCCGTGTGTGCCAGCACCGCAGAGGTGGGGCGTCCCGTTCCGTCCTGGGAGGAGCACCCACCTCCCGTACTTGCAAATAGGTTCACAGAGGCCAGCCAGCCAACCCCCCTTTCTGCCCAGGGCAGAGATTGCTCTCGAGAGGGCACAGCCATGGTAAAACCTGCACCCTCCAGGCAAGGGGACCAGTGACCGGGAGCCTGCGGAAATGGAGATGTGGAGAAGAATTAAGTCAGGTTTAATAAACCAGGAACAAACCAGATCCCATGGACCCAAAGGAGAGCAGGAGGAAGCAAACTCTGTATACACTTTTGCAAGCAGCAAAATCAGCAGAAAAAAATGTTTTTAATTTTCTGCTTTAAATATTGGGGCTGTAAGAGTGCATGAATGAATCGGTGAACTGCACAGAGACTTGTTGATGCCCATCTTCGAAGCAGAGGGCTGGAAGAATGAAGTAAACCAAGGCCACAACTTGGACCCTGGTGGGGGGAGGAATCAGATCAAGGGAAGATGGACAAGTTTCGGATGGTCTTCCAGTTCCTACAGTCCAACCAGGAGTCCTTCATGAACGGCATCTGTGGGATCATGGCCCTCGCCAGCGCCCAGATGTACTCAGCCTTTGATTTCAACTGCCCCTGCCTGCCACACTACAACCTGGCCTATGGGCTGGGCATCCTCCTGGTGCCCCCCCTCATACTGTTCCTGCTGGGCTTCGTGCTGAACAACAACGTCTCCATGCTGGCGGAGGAGTGGAGGCGACCGCAGGGCCAGCGAGGGAAGGACCCGGCCGTCCTGCGCTACATGTTCTGCTCCATGGCGCAGAGGGCTATGATCGCCCCGGCAGTCTGGGTCTCGGTGACGCTGCTGGACGGCAAGTGCATCACCTGCGCCTTCTGCACCTCGGTGCCGGTGGAGACCCTGGGCAATGCCAGCCACCCCGGCCTCTCCCCAGGGGAGATAAAGCAGGTCCTTGCCCGCATCCCCTGCAAGGAGATCTACGATGGACAGGAGCTCATTGCCAATGAAGTGGCCGTCAGGTACCTGCGCTGCGTCTCTCAGGTAAGAGGCATCGTGGCTGTGCCCACGCTGGTGGTTTAGGGTTAGGCACTGCCTGTCTTAGCTCTTCCCTCAAGGGAATCTCCTTGTTGAAATTAAGCTGCAGGAGGAGAGTCTGGCAGTTTCGCAGGGGTATGAGGTGTTCAGACTCAGCTACAGGGAGTTATGCCTCCTCCAGTGTGGTGCAGAGACTGAAGCTGTAGGTTGTCCTGATAATTCGGTCCCTGCTCCTGCCTGGGCAGCCTGAGGCCGCAGGGCAGCGATACGCGGTCAAGCTGCATGCAGAGATTCATTTAGGGTAAGTTCAGAAGGGCCTGACATGGGTGTTACTGCCTGGCTGGTGGGCTGTCACCCCCTCCCGTAACCCACCAGTTGCCCATGGTTGCTCTTGCTGCTCAATGTAACGTGTGCAAGTGATGGGCTGATAACTGCCTATGCCACTCGCCTCTGCTGCTTGCATGAAACAGCCAGTATGTGTTTATGAACCATCCCAGGGAACCACAAATGAAGAAGTGCCACTAACCACTTGTCCTGTGCTTGATTCCTCTCAAGCCCTCTGCTTCTGGCCGCCTTGGAGACAGGATGGTCTGACCCACTCTGGTCACTCACGTGTTCCTGTTTAAAAGCAGCTCCTCTCCCTGACCTCCTTAGAGCAGACAGAAATTATTATCCCCAATTTAAGAATAGAAATGGAGGCACAGAGACTTCACCAAAGGCACAAAGCAGATTTTCCTGAGTAGAATCCAACTCCCAGCTGCCAGGAAGCACTGGGAGCTTCAAAACAAGAGGTGCCACCCAGATACCCCCCTCCCAGGTGCACTTTTAGGGGGCTGCATTTAGAGCAAGGTTCACCCTCCTGAGCTCTGCCTGCACAGCCCGGCGGCAGCCTGAGCTGAGACCGATGGTGAACAAGACAGACCCGTCCTGGCTCTGCCCTCATCTCACCCTTCCTGTCAGACCCCATGAACAAGGGAGTCTGTCACCGTTACTCATCCATGATAGATGTTACTCAGTCCAACAGCTCGGGAAAAGGGTTAGACAGCTGCATAAACCCGGGTAGTATCTGGAACGACGTTAGCTGCGAGTCAGAGGACGCAGACCATCCCAGACCCACGTGAGGCATGGTCATATCAGAGGCAGGACCGAGGGCTGGGTGCAGGATTGGGTCTGGTGTTATTTATGGGCACGGCCTGCTGATGCCATACTTGGAGAGAGGTGCTGCCTGTGGGTGCAGAAAATTTCAGTGTAGATGCACTGACTGGCACAGGACATAGGCAGGGTCTCCTCGTCCAGCTTCACAATGTAAACACAGCCAAATGTCAAACAGCCCAAAGCGGAGCCAGGCTCGTTGGCAGCACGGGAGGCTGCTGCCAGCTGGTGGGAAGTGCTGGGCGCGTGCTCTGCCTGCCTGATGGGTCCGGTTCCCCCCTTGTCCCCGCAGGCTCTGGGCTGGTGCTTTGTGCTGCTGATGACCACGCTGGCTTTCTTGGTCAGATCGCTCCGGCCCTGCTTCACCCAAGCCGCCTTCTTGAAGAGCAGGTACTGGTCCCACTACATCGACATCGAGCGCAAGCTGTTCGACGAGACCTGCACGGAGCACGCCAGGAGCTTTGCCAAGGTCTGCATCCAGCAGTTCTTCGAGGGCATGAGCACCGACCTGGAGGCCGCTCGCTGCCACCCGCCCAGGAAAGCCCCCGCCGATGCGGGGGAAGCCGCCAAGAAGCTCCTGGGCATCACTGACCAGGGCACCATGAACACGGCCCTGAAGAGCTGGCACCGATGCAAGCCCCCGCTGCAGCTCCACCCGCCTGCCCTCCCCAGTGGCAACGGGTGGGCAGGGGAAGGGCGGGCCCCC